TACCACCATTACTATAACAAAGACCCAGAATAAAAATGGAAAGCAGGTCTCTCTAAACCCTGTAAAGCACGTGGCCTTCCAAAGCAAGCCTGTGCTTTCACAGCACACACCTATGTCACTTTGCAGGAACCTTGGAACCTGCCTGTCTGGCTGCTAGTGAGCTCTCACAGAAAGGACACAGACATGTGTTAACTGCAGTTTCATAGCAGCTTCTCAGGTCATCTTCAAAAGCACTGTATGACACACAAACAGCACAACTCTGACTGATGAGGGAGCAAGAATGATGGCCAGAATCCCCTCAGGACACCCTTGTGTATCCCTGAAAATGCAAATGGGCTAAACCAGTTATAAAGGGTTATCCAGAAGGAAAAAGCCCCACACACTGAGACCAAACCAAAACCGCTCTGATCTCCACTGCCTGGTCATTTGTAAGTGTCTGTGGCAAATTAAACACATCTCATGAACAGGCCTCTTTTGGTAACTTGACTTTATTGTGGAAAACAGCCATGACAACTGTTTACTTGGCTTATTGTTAGTGCATGTGACAGACACTTCAAAGGGACTTCTTAGCTGCATTTCTAGGAACCCTTCCTTGAATTCCCAAGGAATGTGGAATAGTGTGGCTGCACAACGAAATCTCACACACCACAACCACTGTTTTTCCTTGTTAGTGAAGTAAATTGGCCTCCATTATGTAGCTGGCACCCACAACAACCAACCTGAGTTTTTATAGTCTAGATTCACTGAATATTTCTTCTCCCTACCTATGGTGATGATCTCAGCTTTTAAACTAGCAGAAAGAATATTCAGAGATACACCTCAACAAAACGAGATCCAAGTCCTGCTGAAAATTCATTTCTTATTCTGAGAAACACTCTTACCTATACAATGGGTGCTGCTTCTGCTTTAGAAAGAGGTCAACAGATAAAGCTTGCTGGGCATTCCAATGTAAGACACATTTAGCATGACCTTAGCTTCTATACTGCATTCTCAGCTTGGCATACAAGACCAACAAAATGGAAGGAGAAGAACTTTTAATCAAGAGCAGCTGAGTCTCAGGTGGCCTTAATTAAACAAAGGAAACCCATCTGTGCTAGTTTGGCTATGTACTGATTTATCGTGTTCACATTAGTGACCACCGAAACACACTGAAACTGGGGCTGGTTTAGTCAACATTGAGACAAGGATGTATTTCATCACCCAAGGATTCATCCTTGTATAGACAAAAGGTTTTCATACAGACCATGTACGCAGCAATACCATATAATAAAGACTGTTAGTACCCATTTCTGTTCAAGTTGCAGAACATACAAGCACACCATTGAGTTTTAAAGAAACTCCTGTAATGGTTGCCTGTGACACTGCAGGAAAGAGATTTCCATCTCTCTGAGCAACAGTCTTCTGTGTGCAATGTTATTAAGGTCACTATTTCTATCCTCCGTCAAGCCTGGTGAGACTAAGTGGGGGGCACAAAATAGCTACACTGCACTTGCCCTAACAACAGGGTATTCTTGCTTTTAACCAGCACACAGGAGAGGCAATGTGGAAACTAAGTCAACCGAAGGTCTGGGCCAGCTTTCAGCTGCCTGTGCAATTCCTGTCATTTAAAGCAATATATACATTCCTTTCAAATGTGTTTGCACCTCATACAAAACTATATCAAATCATTACAAACATGGATGCCTTGGTGGGACTATGTACATGCACTGTGCTTGAAGCTGCACTCTCAACTAACAGGCTCCACTGAGCTGTTGGGAGCAATAACTTACACTGGAAGTGTCAAAGTTTAGCACAGTGTTTCTGGGACCTGTTTTGTCAGTACTGCTCCTTTCCATCCATCAGGGCCACCACCTGAACAACAAACAGCTGACAAAGAGCCAGCCGGCAGCTCGGAAAGGAAGCAATGTCCATGGTACAGGGCCTGTCTCTGCGAGTCAGCCATCCATGGCAGAACAAACCCCAGCTGCTCCAGGGCCCTTCAGCTCTGTGTCCCTTCCGCGTTACAGAAACTCCTCACAGAAACGACTGTGAGGCTTTCACACCACATTTGCTTATTTTCCTACTGAAGAGAGCCTCCAATCCCAAACATAAACCACAGCTCTTACTAAAATGTACATTTCTGATTCATGGTTTCACCATCTGCAGCAAAACTCGGGGGTAAACACATCCTTCCCAGCAGCTGGGTTTCAAGAGCACCAAACTGTGCCCGTCTCTGAACCCTGGGGCACAAGCTCTGTTACTGACAGGAAACACCAAGCACCTGTTTGAAACCTGAACGAGGGGAAGCTGAAACTGTGAATGAACGCTCTCAGCTGCTATTTCTGATAAGCATTTTGGCTTTTTTGAGTGGCTGCCAAGCCCATAGTACCACTTACCAAGCTGGAGTTCAGTCCACCCAGCTGGGGAGCTTGAAACACCCTGAGCCTTAGAGACCTGTGGGGTGGTGATGGTTTTGCATGTTCCTACTGCTGTGCTATGGAAAATTTAAAAATAAACAGACAAATAAATATATAAAAAACAGATAAATAGATAGATAAATTGATAAAAGGGATGCCGGGGGGGGGGGGCAGACGAGGAGAGGGTCGCCTCGAGCAGCCGCGCTGAGGTGAAGCCAAGATGGCGGAGGGCGCCCACCGCGGAAGCCCGTCCGAGCTGAGGGGACCCCACCATGGCTTTGTCCCTCGCTGACTGCTGTACCTACCACACGTGTCTGCTACACCAGCGTGTCTCCCTTGTGTTTTACAGTAAAACCCACATCCGTTACTCGTCTTTGTCCATCATCTGCGGCAACAACCGCCTGTATTTGGTACCGTGCTGATGCAGCTCCAACTCCAGCGGCCCGCTGGGACTCGGCCGTACATCACACAAAGCATCCCATTGATGATAGCTCAAGCAGACTCACTGGGCACCATTTACACCCTGCCCTGCAGGAACAGCCTGAAAGGTCCAAGGGGAATAGAGGCTAAAAATTGTGTTCTGCAGTTAACAAACAGCAGCAGCCTGACCACCAGACAAACAGTGGATTTTCTATGTAGGCATTATAGTGGTCCCATGAGGGACGAAGTTTAAACAGTGCATACACAGCTCCTCCATGGACCTTTTAAAGTGTTCATGCACATCTGCAGGTCGAAGGAGGTGATCCTGCCCCTCCGCTCTCGTGAGACCCCACCTGCAGCACTGCACACACTTCTGGTGTCCTCAGCGTAAGAAGGACACGGAGCTGTTGGAGTTCTTCCCTGTGAGGGTGGTGAGGCACTGGAATGGGTTGCCCAGGGAGGTTGTGAATGCTCCATCCCTGGCAGTGGTCAAGGCCAGGTTGGACAGAGCCTTGGTGACATGGTTTAATGTGAGGTGTCCCCACCCACAGCAGGGGGGTTGGAACTGGATGATCGTAAGGTCCTTTCCAACCCTAACTATTCTGTGATTCTATGACGGGGGGAGGGGGGGAGAAGAAAGAAACTGAACATTTTCTGTTCATCAACTTCCACGTTTTTATTCCTTCCATCACTGACAGCCTGAAACCACTTCCGGCAATAGTTAGAGCCCTGCAACGTGCGCCAGCACGGAACCAACGCAGCACGGCACCCTGGCATGCTACAGAACCACAGCCTTCGCTCAGGAGGATCTGGCACACCTCACAAGCAGCTGGCATCTTATAGGAGAGTGTTGCACAGATAGCAATGTACCAGTTTACTGTACCAATAAAAAAGGCAAGAATGTGCTGCTGTAATTGATACCGGGACATAAAGGGTTAACATTGTGCCTGCTTGCTTAAGCAGTCGCTGTGCTTGGTGAAGCAGAACCATAGGAGTCAAAGTTGCTACAATGGTGAAGCAGAATTGTAGGAGTTACAGCTGCTAGGCACAACCGCAGTAGATGAGATTCATGACATTTAAGACATTCTTGTTTAAATAGTATCCATAGAAAGAAAAGGAACAAAAGATACCCAGAGTAACAAAATTTGCAAACTTGACAAGTTTCTGCTTTAAGATCCATAAAACCGGCTTGTACTGAACCTGAGGTTTGAACAGGAGCCGAAACCCCATTGAGTCTGCGTGAAGGCAAGAGGTTACTTGTGGTGATGAACTACAGGCCTTCATCCCTATGACCCCCTAACGACCACCACAGGAGGCACTTCACAAGTGCATCAATGGGACGAACACCAGAAAACTAATTATAATACTAGATGGGAATAGGTTTTGCATATGTATTAGGCGTGAAGCAATCCCATGTTTAGGCAATCATTATATGTAACATAAACAGAGTGGCAAAGGAAAGGTGCACATGCTTTTGGAGGAGCGATCCCCCATGCGCCTCAGCACTGAATAAAAGCATACCTACTTTACAACTCTAACAAGTTGTGGAGTCTATCCACGTATCATAATACCTTCCCAGTGAGGGAACGGGAAAAACACTGTTTAAAGCAGTGGCCTGAAACTGGATCCAGCAAGATACATTAAAAGCTACTTGTGAAACATTGAGTGAACGAATGGACAATCCTGATGGTAGAGAGAGGGATTATGGTAGTTTACAAATGGAGAAAACACAACAAAGAAATCGGACTCCTTAGCAGCAGTGTTCTCTTCATGATGTGAGTTTTCATTCTCTTTCATAGCAGGACAGTAAGCAGTGAAGAAGTTGGCCAGGAAGTCACATCACTTTATGCCACCATCTGGCTGCCAATTGCTAGTTCTGCAAGAACTTGGGAAAAATGAAGCCCCCCAGATTTTTGTTTGTGCCATTTCTGATTTGGGAAAAGATAAACAGACAAGAAAACCAAATAAATCCAACCATAAAATCCTGACACACCCCAAAGTTATGGTGAGAGACACTTCTGTGTAAGTTGACCTTGTTTTTAAACCACACTTCACTGGCTTCATTTTCCTACTTTATGTCACAAGTACACCATACACACTGCTGTAACAAATTAACACAAATACATCTTCAAAGACATATTTTGGATTAAAATGCTTAAAAGTATTTTACAAAAATAACATAAATTATTTTTTTTTAAATGAACAGGTATAAAATTCATGAACCAACAAACATGTAACAGACACAAGATGAAATATATTACACTAAAGGCCAGGTAATTACCACAGTGGTATGAAGCTTCAAGTAAATTACTAGGCACTTTTTACCCAAACAGTAGTCACTCATTCCATGGAGAAGTCCAACTGACAGAAATGCCTGAAACATAATTGCTGAAGCTTTCTAAAATCCTAAATTCCTCCAAAACGTGAAGATAAAAAGGCAAAGACAAAAGGCCAGGTATTCTGCCACACAAGGCACCCAACGTTAGCTGCTTTCCTTACATGACTGTGTTCAGCTTAGTTGGAGTTTCAAAACTGGTGTTCACAAGTCTGCCTTCTCCATCTTAAAAGCGCATTTCCATTAAGGCTTTACATGTCAGAGTGGGGAGAAGCTGTAGCAGCTCCAGACACATGAGAAGACAGGTAAAGAGAAAGGCTGCAGGGTTGTATGTGAGCAAGTACAAAGCAGAACAGAGTTGACTTTGCTCTAATTAGAAAAAGTACTCACTAGCTGCAGAATCCCAAGTGGCAAAACATATGCTCTGTACCTGCCAGTTTGTAAGCGTGTGAACAACCCCAGCCCCATGGGCCGATTCTCTCAAGATCCCAGTTCCTGGAAGCTGAATCTTCCATAAACAGAAGGTACTGTCACATGGGAATTGAGATACCAGTAACATGCATAAGCTACTATGAGAAATTGCTATTAAAATACCTAACATAATTAAAAGGAGGAGAATAAAGGGCAACTAAAGCAACAAATGACATATTTCCAAGTACTTTAAAAAGCACTGTAGATATTTAATATACTTATATTAAGCAAATTAATATACCTAAGTTTACTTAATATAAGATTGTATTCATGTAAAACTTAAAAATTTTAGAAAGCAGCAGTTTGTGGCATGATTTTAAAGCACAGTTTGGTCTGTGGGAAGAAAAGCATAGCACTGAGTAGTCCTTAAGAAATCATGTCATTTCAGTAAGGTGCAAAGTTCTCCAGCTGGAAGACCAGGTCTACGGCAGCATCAATGTCTGGTACAATATGATCTGGTTCTACTAACCCAGGCTCAAATCTAAAATCTCTGTGGCCATGGAACACCATTTCAGCTATGCTCACCCTGGTATCCAAGGGCACCTCGGTGTGTGGGTTGTAAACACCAGTACAAACAAGAACAGACCTACAGTGGGCAGCAGCTGCGGATGCTAACTCATTCTCCCAACTGTTGTCTATCTCCTCATCCTGAGAGAGCGCGGTGGGTCCCCTGCCACCAGCAGCTTTGGCCTGAACCCAGGATTTTGAACCTTGTCTGGAGTTCTCTTCAAGATAGCGATTGTAAAGGTTAGCACCATAGACATCAGTCATGAGATTATCTCTGGAAACAGAAGAAACAGTTTAGTCAGCAGGGCGATTTGAGTTGTCAAATTGCGAAGTCTGAAGGACATTTATGCAGTTTTGGTTTAACAGTTTAATTTATACTTTACATGACTTTATGTGGGAATACGTAAACTGGAAGAAATCCAATTCTGTAGTTATTTTATTACACAACTTTCATTAAGCATGACATATGATAAGAGTTGTTTACTCCCTAGTGAAATTTCAGTTTGGAAATCAAGGATAGGTATTTGCAGGCCATGAATGAGTTCATTATATTTCCAGTCATGTTGGGGGTTCTGGAACAGTCATTGATACAATACAGCTTTATCTCTATGAAAAGGATTCTATGATGGGACAGCACACACAGTAGCGTATGACTAAGCTTAATGACCTCACAAATAAAGTCTAGCTCTACATTCTCTAACAACTGTCATTTACCAGTAAACCTAATAAAAACCACCCATGCAAATCCTTCTGCTAGATTTACCCAGCCTCTTGGTGGGGGTAAGGGAATCAGGAGAAACCTTAGTGGCATCTAAACCACTTTCTGTGCTTCTACAGAAATAACACATAGAAAGAGCAAAGTATTACTCATTTTCAAGATTAGAAACACCGAGGCTCAAACACACTGTAAGAAGTACACTGTAGTGCCAAGAATGTTAGTGGCCCCAACAGTATGAGAAGTAAGCTAGTACAAGCTGTGGATCTTTGCTGGTATTCCTGTTGTGGGTGATTTGCTGCTGTACTGGTTGGACTCGAGGTGCCTTACCCGACAGCATACAGGGTGTGAATGGGGTGCTGCCACTGCCTCTCTGCTGCCTGGGCCCTGATGAGGTATTCTGCGTACTGGTAGGTCACTTTACTGGGTTTGCCCATGAGGGCCTCATATTTCAGATCTTTGCCTGTGATCTTCTTGTAAATGTTTTCCAGACAAACCATGAATGTTCCGTGCCCAAACCTGCCCACATAGAAAGACAAATCAAATTATATTAAGTGCAAATTAAAAAAACACGTTTGTATAAAAAATGCCTTTTTTATTTCATCATCTTTTAGGAATAAATCACATCCTGTAACTATGGAGCCTCCCTCAGTTTCCACATGTTCCAATGAAACATTTCCGCAGCTGCTTCACTGAAAATTGAGTGCTGATTAGCTGAAAAATAAACATCACAACAAAAACAGGTTATAGGGGCAGCACAACAGACTTTATCTACTTTATCTGTTCTTAAAATGTGGTAGTGGCTTGTGTTAGTATTACTTGCACTTAAATAGTTACAGAAGTGACCTTCCTGAAAGAATGCCTGGCCTGTGATCTACTCTGCAGTGACAGAGCACAATCACCGAAATCAACAAAGAGGAGAAACAGAAAAGAAAGGACAGAATCAGACAGAAGGAAAACTGATCTCTCCTTAAAAAAGGAGAGTATACCAAAACCTTCCTGTAATATGGAGACAAAAAAACCCCAACTTCCTGGGTTTCTCTAAAACAGATGCAAAGGAGGATCAAGGAACAAACTATGATTTTACAGCATGCTTTGGATAATTGTTATTCTGATCAAGGGGCAGACAGTGATGATGGGTCATCATCCAAGCCAGTAAATCAGCAAGTTAGAAGATGTAATCTGATGATTAAAAAAAACCAGTTTTACTTCACTACTAGTGAAACACTAGTTCAGGGTGTGGAATTAGGGGTGAACTAATACGCATCACTTGAGAATACCAAATTACCAGAAGCATCCCAAGAAGAACAGGAAGTTGCTATACAACAATTCTATGCACAATAAATGACACATACTGCTTCAGAAGAGCTGCTAGGTAACTTCTGATACACATAGATTGGTATATCTGCTCAAATCAAGATCAACAGCGTAAAAAATACCCAAACCCACCAATATAAGGAGCATCAGAAGCAAGTAGAGATGTTAGAAATTAAGTCTCTAGTGGCCTAGAAATCGAAATAGTCTTTTAAGGAAAAAAGCTATGAAGGAGGAAGCAACTGTAGTACTTTCATAGGTGGTACATAATTTGCTTTTCTGTATTAACCCTTCATTCCCCCTCTCCACCCTGTTTGTTGCTTTCTGTTGTGAAATACCAATAAATGACCATAAAATTATTTCCAGTAATTATTAGCAAAAGCTTCTACCAACTTCGTCATGGCATTATATTCCAGTACTGAAGGTAGCAGCTCTGACAGGTACAACCTTGTCACACTGTCAAACTGAAAGGGAAAAAAGAACCCCAGCTTTATACTGGATCTTTCCCAAAGGGCATAACCAAAACCATGAATCTGGTTCACTGTAGATATAATGGTTGCCTTACTCTAGCCTGAAAACATCACACATCTGTCTTTTACCAGCATGCTAACTAGAGATGATCTTTGTATCCAGTAAGGACAGCTGACAAGATCCTCAACCCAAGATCAAAGCAGCAATCAAGTCACACTAACAATGACTATTTCAGTGTATATTCAGATTTTGACTGGGGGAGAACAGAACTACTGAAGGAACTACTGTTCCTTGAAAGAACACACGACTGAAAACAAAATCAAACAAAACTACTGTCAGAGATCATGCCACCTAGTTCTGTGTGTTCTACTTGTTTCATTCTGTGTTCCTTAAACAGCTCACTGTATTGTCCTCCACTCAAAAACACTCACTGCTTTCAACTAGCAAGTTCAGTTCTTTACCCTATTAGAAAAAAGTGGGGTGGAAAGGAGAAATACCAAAGAAGGAACTAATGAAATGAGACAATGGCCTTGATATTTATGTTTTCCTTTGAACTGAGACACTGAGGCCCTCAGGCAAAAACCTGTCTTCTGGGAGTGGGGAAACAAAGGGGCTTAGTGCGCAGAGGCAGCTTTTACCATGCGAAACTGATTTCCTGAGTGCAATGATGTAGACAGCAATAAGGCAGCACTTGCTGAAAACGTATGGCTTTAGAGATGCTGTCTTCAATGCTGAGACCAACTGTGAGGCTGTAAGCAAGCATTTGGTATAAAAGAGTTACCTGATTTTCACTGAAGATATGAGGAAACACCAAACACATCATGATATACACACGTTACAACATGTGCTTACCTTGGAGACTGTGCTTCAGCTACCCACATCAGATCCATGTTACAGGCAAGCACAGGAATGTGAGGGTAATTTTCATGGTGATAGGGATTTCCAGGGTAGCCACTTGTCAGCAAAACATCTATTATCAGCTGAAGGTTGGTCTCCCATCTGACTGGTTCCCCAAACAAAACAACAGCTACGAGAACAAGAATTACAGAGCAGAGTTATGGAATTAGCTAACGGGGCACCAGATCTCTGACACTAAAACTTGGTCTAAAGAGACTGAACAAGTAATCTGATTTAACCATGAACTGAAATAGTCACATTTAACTTCAGGTTTTACTATATTACATACCCATTCTTGCCCAGCAAATCTCAGAAGTAACAACCCTCCTCTGCAAAATCTACCAGTTTAAGGATTCCTTTTTTTAATCGGCTAAATTTCTCCACAGCACCACAAAATATTAACTTCTAAATGGTACTTCACACCCTTGTGAATTCTGTGTTTACACCCAGTGTTTACACAGATCAGAGATGCTATTTTGCTCATCTTAAACCAAAATTTGATTGTTGTTTTTAGACCTTTTTTCTGGTCTCCAGCATCATCTGACGCAGATTTTATTAAGTCCTGAAGTCCAGTTTCTACTTTCCTGTACTTCAGAGGAGAGTGAATGCAGTGTGCTGAAACAAGGTGAGTCTCATACTACAGCTTGGAAGTGACCATCCCAACCGCTTGTAAGAACAAGACCCATTATTTCTGAACACAGACATCCATTCCCCATTCATGACAGGAAGACAACAGCAGGCAGCTAAAGGAAGATGAAGAGGACAGCAGACCTCTGAAACGTTAAAACCACATGGCTCAAACCTGCACGCATTAAAACACAGGCTGTCACACGTGATACAGTGCAGTCAGTGCCAGATGCCATTACCGAGGACACCAGAATTGTCTCAGAAAACTTTCTGAAGTTCCCAGCAATCTAAAGATAAATCCCAATTATAAAGTATGACAAAGATATTTCATCTATTAATGGATAGTTGCAAGTTAAATAAAGACAACTGACCCTCAATCTTGGGAAGTTCCACAGCAGAGGGGGACTGCAATAAGAAAAAAGTGAAAGTTTTCTACAAGATTAAACACCTCCGACTATTTTTAACAGAATAAATTCAAGTATAGCCCCCACCGCTGCCTTCTGCAACACTCACAGGAAATGCACCCTCTCTTTTAGTATATACATAGAAACTTGTTATCTCACTCTGAAGTGAAAACTCATGGCAAGGGGACAGCAGACAAGTTCATGTCTAGCTTCCTGCATCCATTTAACTGCCTCTGGCAAGCTACAGTTGTTTAATGTACTTCTGTATCAAAGTATGGATGTTTGTTTTGCCACAGGAGGAAGAGGCCTCCAGTGTTGTCGAGGCATTTGAAAATTAGCTTTTGAAATGTATTTCTTTAATGCTGCTAAGGAAAAAAAACATGATCTGTAACACATAACACATGTGCTAAACAAAGAAGAGCTTGCACTTCATGAGCAACTTCCTACAGTGACAAATATGTAACAGTTTCTTGAGCTTTGACACCCACATGGCTGAGAAGTAAGGCAGAAGGTGATACAACTGAGTTAGGGATTCTATGAACCACAAAGGACCTCCTGACTTCATGTGGGAAAACCCCACTCTGCAAACCAAGCCTGAACATGTGTAGTACCACATGCGTATTTACTGAGGGTACATTCACTTCTTGAAGTCAGCACAGTTCAGTTGAAGCCACACTGTTTGTACTGTTACTATTTAAATATATTTGAATAATGATACAAACAAGAAAGGGAAGACATTGCAGAAAAATCAGTTATCTGCAAAGCACTGACTTACAATCAAAGCAACCTCACAGCCTAGAAATGCTACAAAGACAATCCTGTACTGAAGGAAAAAGCTTACTTTATCTTACACACACCTGAGGAAGCTAATAAGCTTTCCATGACAGAATCTGAATTAGGTATCTCTATAAATGGTTAAGTTTCTCCACAACAGTAAGTTACAAAATCAAAGGTTATGTTAAAGAACTACCAAGAAAACAAGCCTATAGAATTGTTCTTGGAAATGATGCAATAAAACAAATAAAGGAGGAGAAAAGCAAAGTCAGAATACAACGTAAGAACAGCATTAGCTCTGTAGTTTAAATATTGACCCCTGCTATTGAATGTGATCTGATGAGCAAACGAAGAACTTGAAAACAAAGATACACACTCACCAGAGCGTTAGGTCTTCTGTCATGGTCAACTACATCTAGCAAAGGGTGTTTCTCCCGCAGTGTTTCAATGGTAATAGGTTGACAGAAACCAAGGCTGGGAAATGCCAGTTAAGGATACAGAACTGCTTGTATTAAAAGAGTTTAAAAAATAGCAATTCCATTTTAACAATTTTAACATATGCAGCTTATCTGGTAAAGAAAATTATTTAGGAATGAAAGCAACATAAAGACTGACGTTTTCTTCACTGAGATAAAAAGATGATCATCCCATTATTGATAAATGGGAGACCTGTGTGCCTGGAATCCTATGACAGAAACTATACATAAATCTTTCTCAGAATATGAGATGAAAAGCAAGAAGCCACTCTCCACCTGCAGTACTCCAAGATCATCTTCACATAAGCAGAAGTTTATGAGGCAGCAAGACAGCATCTTGTGCAATTATTACAGGAAAGAAATATGAGCTACTTGAGTTACAATTACTGTCCCCACAACCTGTGCTTTCCTCAGGCCATTAGAGCTGAAAGCATGTCCCTAGGTAAGCAAACACCATAAAGCTCAGCCTCTTGCTAAATGGTGGCTTGAACAACTGGGTTTAATTGTGCTCTACAGGGAGTGAAGATAAATACTGAAACACGTCAGGAAAGGAAAGGACCAGAAGGGGAACAACAACCTCCTGATTTGCATAGTAGTATTCTTAAATACTGATATATCCCATTAATGTAAACTTAGTTAACAAGAGGAAACCAAACTATACCTACTCATTTATGTAAAAAGCAGTTGTGAATTTAGTCTCAATACAACGACATCATCTTACAATGCAAATGAAAGGAAGAGCAATTGAAGTGTATCAGTTATACAAAGTAAGCCCCTGAATTAACACCATGGGCCATTTGTGAAGTTATTTTCAGATCAGATTAGCTCGCATGAAAATGCTATCTAACAGAAATACAGCTTTTGTGTTAAGTTTGTAAGAGACTTTTCTCTTAGCTGTGCTCAACTAATTTTGATTAAACTGGAATGTTCCTTCAGTGACTTTTTCTCATCTTTGTACTTGAAATAACAGTTATAAGCTGCACTCATGTTTTTTTTACAGCTTATGACTGCACTAACTTTAACTAAAAGCCCAATAAAGAAGAAGTGCAGGAGAGTGCTACTGGAAGCATGAGTGAAAATTGCGCAACAGTTAAGGTTGTTAAATTACAGTTTGAAGCTTTGATACCACCATTACATCAACATAATTCAAGTTCTTTTTGGCCGTTAGTGTAGATGTGGCAAAACACTTCCCAGTGTAGTTCTGCTCTAGGTGCTGGTTACAAACCCACTGTGACCTGGCCTGGCTGCATGCTCACCTGCAGATGCTGAGCCACTGAACTACAAGTCAGATGTGATGATGCTATAAGAATGCCACACTCTCACCCACTCCAGAACACAGACCCTAGAGCTGAAGTGTCATTTACACAAGTCCAAACAAATTATTTCTCTTTTTTCTTTCCTCACTAAAAGCAGCAAACATCAACACACAACCACTTTCAAAACATCAAGTTGACACCACAGTAAGGACTACCACTGCCGATGACTGCATTCGTAGTGCTGAAATATTTAGTCTTCACTTAATCCACAGGATCCCCTGACCTTGATTAGGGAAAACACCTAAACAGAAAGTTGTTGGGTTGGTTTTGTGGTTTGGTTTATAAAGATACTCCTGAGCAATATCAAGAAGAGGTCCTTGTCCTGATACAAGAACACATTTGTCATGGTACCTCTTGAACATCCGCAGAGGACTGTGTGACATCACCACCTGGTCCTGGGAAATCTGTGTGGGATTTCAAAACAAGAGGAGTTTGTTGTTTTCCAGATCAGCTGTTTATGTGTGGATGTAATCAACAGCTCTCACAAAGCCTATGAGTTACAAAATACCAAGCAGACCTACGTAAAGCCCAACCATACCATACCTCCTCAATTGCACAATGTGTTTATAATACACCAGGAAAAAAAAGTCATCACTAACAAATTGTCATATAGCCCCTTTTCAGGTGCCAGAATCACTCCGTTCAACAAGAACACAAGGTTTTCTCTCCTAGTTTTAATGGAATGCCAAATGCACTCTAGAAAACAAACAGGGAGGAAGAATCAGAACTGGCCTAGTTCCAGCTGTGGTCCCTTTGCTAGGCTGCAGCACTGATTTCATTGTATCAGACCTCCTTGTCTTTGTTTCCATATCCCCATTCCTTCAATAGGTATAAAACCAGTGTAAGTACTATCATGGAAGGACACTGTTATGAATCACTCCTTATCACTTTTACAGATCTAAAAACCCCCAAATCATTGAGATGTTGTTTTACCCATGACACAGAGTTTGACTGGTACAGACATGCCCATGTCTCGTGGCCCTTCCCAAAACCATAGGCACTGTAGGACTCACTTCATGGCTTTCTCTTAGCAAAGCTCAAGCAGTCTCCATGGACGGGAAAGTCCTATTGCCTGCAGTGCTCACAGATTGGGGGGAATGAAGTTTTACTATTCACAAACTTGGCAGTTAGAATGATCTTTAAGGTTTATCCTGTGAATCTGTAACAAAGCCAGGCAGGAAGCTCCTCCCTCACACATCACCACAGAAGACACTCACCGGCCAGAGCAGTGGTTCATGGTAGTGGCCCATGCAGGATTTTCTTCAGGAGGAGAAAGCAAGATTTATTCCCACAATAATAACATTGCAAAGAAATACCATTACCACTGGAAAAAGCAGTGCCTTCACCAGTGGCAATGCCACTGGCTTTGGACAGCATGTTTTACTTTTATAACACCTCCAGCAACACATATCAGGGGGCTTAAGGGAAAACCAAAACTGCTTAACTGAGCAGGATTTAATGGATCATAATACATTTGACACATTCACCATAAGTAACTATCTAAATGAATAGGATTGATGGTACTCACTGGAACTCCCAGTAGCTGTGACAACTGATCAGCTTTTTCCTGGCGAAGGCAATTCCCTGCATTGGTGACAAACACCACAGGCACCATGAACTGTCCCTGAGAGTTCACTAGCTTCTGGAAGGCTGTTTTTGCAGCAGGAATTGGAGTCTTCCCTCGCACCAGTACACCATCAATGTCAAAAAGAAACCCAAAGGATGGCAGCACGCTGAGCTGTAAGAAAGAATTAGAAAGAGAAGAGTACATTAGTTATTCCCATACTTACGTCTGTTTGATAAAGCCCACAATAGCTCAGCCCAGTGAAACAGGCACTCCCCAGAGAAGGATGGATCCTTAACTTTGCACATTTCAATGTGCCTTACAGACATATTCATGTGCTAAAATACATACTGTGAAAAAAGAAACCCTACAACTCCCCTTATGCCTTATGAGTATTCCTCGAATGCTTCAGGAGACAGGGACAAACTGAGGTAAACTGATAAAAAAGGTACAAAATACACACTGCTGTGCCAGCGAGTCACATTTCTCATTGATTTAACCCCTATCTATTTCACAGGCAATGTCAATGCCCAGAACACTAACCAAATAAACTACTAACACAGTAAAAGCAGAGCAGCAGGGAGTTGATGGTGAGTTTTACACATGGCAGACTAACGCCTGTTGGGAAAGTCAGCTCCTCCTTCAACACAGATGCTGAGTCCCTAGAGTTTACCTCGTTGCCTGACTTTGAAGAAGTGAAGAGCTTTGTGGGACCAGGAAAGGAGAGCAAGGCTAACTGGGGGTAAGAGAAGAGCTGGGTATAATAAGCCTAAGGAGTGGCAACAGAGACGGCTGTCAAGCAATGAAACCGTTAATCGAGTTGGAAAAGGATGGACCAAAAAGGATTTGTAATGTAAACTTCAGTTCCCTCCCAAGCTTAAAATGGATTCCTAAGTCCCTCGTTCACCGTTTGATGAAACAGGGGTGACAGATCCAGTGTGATGGGGAGAACAGGCACCAAACGACCCCGGCCAGTGGTGGTGGGTTCAGCTGTTCGGGCACCGGCTGACAGCGACCCAGCCCGCTGCTGCTGCTATGCAGGGACAAGGACACTGCCTACTGAAGCAGCACTCTGCTCCTCATCAATTATTCACCTGCTGCATTCCTCCTGCAGCTGGGCACGGCACGGACATGGGCGCTGCCACCGCTGCGCTGAAGGGGATGGAGCTGCCGGCACATCCCCGGGCAGGCCGGCTCCCGCTGCTGCCGCTGGCATGGAACTGGCTGTTGAAAACCCGGGAGTGAGCACATTCCCTGCAGCCCAATTCAGTAAATGCCATGTACTGCACTGGCACTGCTGAAGTGAGGCACTTGGGCTTTGTCCAGTGTCCTTGTCCGTCCGTGCTCAGCAGAGCCCCAGCCCTGAGCCGGTGCCTCCAAGCTGCCTGCAGCAGTCTCGGGAATGCCACAGCGGAAGGAACCCACCCGCCCCGGGCACGATGGACACAGAGCAGCCTCCTCGGGGTCTGGAACCGCCGCGGGAGGTTCCCGGCACTACACCGCAACAGTTCTGAGGTAAAGGCAGCTCTTCCCGGTAGTTTTACCTCTTTTAAAGCGTGGCCATGGGTGTGAATCCTGCAGTGAACAGCACTAGCGAAAGAGCAGTCTGGTGCTGAGCATATACATTAAAAACACTACGGGAGGGTTTCAGCTCGTCCCGCAGGGAACAGTGACATTAACACCTCATTTTCCCCTTCAGGCCATAGAAGGCCGCTCTCCCGCCGCCCGGGAGCCGGCAGCGCTCAGCCCTGGGGCAGGGCCTCGCAGACCCCCAGTGAAGAGCCCCAGGTCCCAGCGGAGACGCTGCCCCCGTGCCCGCCACACCCGGGAGGGACCTGACCGCGGCCGCCTGAGGCCGTTTCGCTTTCGCCCCGCGGTGCCCGGCCTGGCCCCGCCCCGCGGACCCCCCGCTTGCCTTGCCTTGCTGCCGCTGCTCTGCCCGGCCGCCGGGAGCCCGCCCGGAGCGCCGCAGAGCCCGCTGAGCGCCGGCAGCCCCGCGGGGCCGGGCCTGAGGAGAGCGCGGAGAGGCGGCAGCGCCCGGCGCATGGCGGTGACAGGGAGCGGCCGGGACAGCGCCCGCCGGGCCTCGAACCGGGGACCGTAAACGCAGGGAAACGCCCTCACGGGACAGAGGCCACGCCCCCTATGCCAGAGGCCACGCCCCCTCAGGGTCTGCTCACCGAGGCGCGTTCCGGCGGTAACGGCAGCGGAACCTCTCGGCCATGCACGGGCAAGGCCGGGAGCGCGCAGAGGTGCGGCTGCAGGAGGGCCCCTGCGAACCCCTTCCGGAGCCGGCAGCGCTGGGGCTCAGCCGGGCTGTGGCACCCGCCAGCGCCACCACCAGGAGAGACCTCATCTGGACCCGGCCCGAGAGGGAGCTTCCACCACGCGAAGAGCTCGGCTCTGCTTCAGGAACAAACGCCCCGCTCTGCTGGTGTTCAGGAACCGAGGCTGCCGGGGAGAAATCACATCACGGTCACGCACGGACACGGGAGCTGGAGCGTGCGCTGCAAAGGCACTGATTGCAACCAGGCTGAGAGTGGGCAAAACACGGAATACACACAGCACGGGGACAGTCTGCAGGGCTGTCACTGGGGATCGCACCCATCTCTTAACACTGATCAGGAAAATCCACTTATCTCCTCGTAGTGCCAACACATATTCCCCACCACCCTCTTGGACATCAGGAGGTGATCCCATGGTGGCACTGCACTCACCAAGAAAGCAGCAAGGAGGGTGTGCTTTGGTGGGCACCACCGTGGTGGTTGGCACTAAATGAAACGGAATTGAATGCTTTTAGCACACAAAAGCAGCCAAGACCGGTAACAGTGAACAGCCTAACCCAGAGGTTATCCCCTCACAGCTCAAGCCAGGATCACACACAGCACAGAGCCCTGAAGCACACAGGGAGCTACACACTTCCATGTAAAAAATGACATTTGATAACCTTGACATGCTCACAGCTGAGGCACTACCGATGGCACAAACTATAAGCCTGACACAGCACACAGCTCTAAGTACAGCTGCACCCTCAAGGAAGCATTAACACAGAGCCTATGTGCTGTTCCATGCTTCAGGACAAGCTACAAGCTCACTCTCTCAGTTCTGCCTCCAGAAGCTCCTCTGCCCCAACCCCAGCAATGATCTAACAGCCCGTACAGCCAGCAGAGCAGAGGCAGTTTGCCCGGGCCGCTGCTGCCAACACTTACTCTGCAATTTGTTGGCTCAGATGCAGCCAGAAAAGAGCATCCAGTTTAAAAAGCCAGCACTTGGAGCTAGAGCCTGGTTCCAGGCCCCATACAGCCTGCACTGCAGCTGCACGCTGTTTCTGTGCATTGGTCCCATTTCTGCGCTGCTGAGCAGCGACCAGCATCACCCTAAACCCCTCTTTTTACACCATTATATTGGTCTTGCCAAGGGCTGGAGCTGCTTCTTTGAACACGAATGCAGTTCCTATCCTGTCTTGGACTTCCCTCTATCAGTTTACTCTTTTTTTTTATGCTTTCTGTCATTATCACTGTGTCCCTGACCTACCTTCACCCTTCTGTTTTGTGTCTTCTATGTTACATATTCCTACTGTGACAGAAGGGATCAACCAGTGGTATTATTAAACTCCCAGACTGTGCCAGGCCATGAAAACTAGTCAGGTTTCCCCCCCTAAATCCGGTTTGGTTATCTCCAGCACAGAGGTTAGCAGATGTACAGCAGGACTGGCATTTCTCTTCCCCTGGAAGAAACACTGTTGAACTGACCAAGTGCAGCACTGACCAAGTGCAATGCAGCAGGAGCATGGTAGGCAGGGGGCTGTTTACAACCCAGCTCCAGCTCCAAGTGCCTTTTTGGCAAACCCCTCTGGCTGCTCAGGTTGGTTGTTGGTGTCATGTCTCCCCTGCCCTGGTCATGCTATGGGTATCATCACGTGTTGTGACCACCAACACTCCTGCAGTGTGATCAAGCCTTACAACCTGCCTGCCAATGCACTCAGCTCAAGGAACTCCGTCAGTGCCTCAGTACCAGGCGACAAAGCCTTTACCCTTCATCTACTAACCTTTTCCACAGGCAAAGCACATTGCTCTGATCCAGTACTGCCAAACCATAAACCTGTTGGCGCATCCCACATGGAAGGAGCCTGTTTCTCCACTCCGGGCAGGCAGGGGTTTCAGGGAAGGAACTCTGGGAAACAGCAGTGCCTTTTACAGGAAAGCAGATAGTGTGCGGATAAAAGCACATCACCTCCTCTATACCCAAGAGCAGAAAACACTCAAGGGCCAGAGCAAAAACTGAAAACAACTTTGGAAAGACGTTCACAGCTCAGAGCACACAAACCGCTACAAATCATACATGTACTCATTTGCTGCTTTATTACAAAGCAGAGAAAGCTACACTGCTAACAGGAGGAGAGAGGAATGTGTGTGTGAGGTTAGTTGTCTGCTTGCTATCTATCTGATCTTTGTTAGGATTCCCATTTGGCAGCTATGCTTTCCACTCTTTCAAGGCTTCTATTATTTGATCATTTACATCAAAAAGTTTTTCTCTGTAAGTTAGAGCTTTGATTGCTTTGGAGTGGATTATTTACAATAGGTAGTGCTGAATACTCAGAGCATCTAGAAACTCGAAGCAGTCCCAGACATGGCTAGGTGGTTGTTAAATACTATGTTCCTTCGAGAGCACTTCTACTCCATGGCTGCAGATGCCCAATTCAGGATTTCATTCATTCTGTATAACCTGTACAATGTTAGTCACCCATGAGACTGCACAGCTCTGCTGTAATCTGCCCCTTGCCACAGGATACCCGAGCCAAGAGCAGCAGGGAATGCAGAGCTCCAACTCCCCATAAGGATGGGCAGTTCTGATCCCATTCTTTGGCTACAATCAGGGAAACACCACTATCCTTTGAGCTGGAATGAAACAAGACATCGGGTTGCAAATCAGTTTTACTAAAAATGTTTGAACCAGGTACTGCAAAGTTGGACATATTTACAACAGCTGCTGAAATATCCAGCACTGAGCAATCCACCCAGGCACGGTTACAAACCACAGCAAGGGGAACAGCTTTTAGACATCCTGCATGAGTTACACAAAGAACCAAACCCACCTCATCGTCACTCCTAAGAGATGCCATCAGAACAGGCTACGCTGGTAAATCAACTGGGCATAAGAGAGGAAGTTACTTCTGGTCTCAGCTCAGCTAAAGCCAACATGGGAAAGATGTGCACGCTTACGGTCAGGATACAGCGGACAGAAAGGCAGTAACGGCACTCAGCTTTCCCTTGGGATTTAAGGAGTCACTTGGGTTGTGCTCCTGTCTGTAAGAGGCGACAGCTGCTGACGATGCAGAGACAAGTGAACCTAGGTTTGATCTTTTTCAGCACTGAAGTGCAAGCCATTCCTAGTGGATAAACCAAAATGATAGCTCTCCTGCAGAACACCCTGTAACTTCATCAGTTTACTCGTAACATCCAAAGGGACTTCGGGAGATAATAGTGACTGCCACCAGAATATGTGAACCTCCTGCTTTTAGCTGGCTTGTACAAAACCCAGGACACACTGGTGCAATGTTACAATCCTAGAAGTGTCTTTGCCTCCTGACTCTGTGCCATGAGGGTTTCACTGGCATACTTCTGAAGAAGCTCCATCTTCTTTCTCCGTACAAGAGCTTCCTCAATCTGCAAATACAAGAACAGGAAGACATTCCGTTTAACTGAGGTGCCAAAACCTAGCACGCTTAGCTATTAAGACAGGAGGAAGAAAACCACAGGAAACAGACCACAAAAGCTTTAATTCTAGTGTAATTCTAGTGTAAAAGCAGTTGAATTAAGATGAGTCAGGAGTATCCTTTCCGCTCCTCAACTAAAGCTCATGGAAGTTGAAAGACACAGTAAAATCAACACCTCCATCTCAGCTCTATGCTTCTACTCTTTTTAATTAGGAAGATAGCTCCATTTCATTTTACTCAGTACAGTCACTTGAGCTTACTTTCAAAGAACTGTCTCAGACACAGCTTTAACAAGTGCAGAACACGTGGAGTCACACCACACTAGTCTGCACCCCTGAAATAACAGTTCAGTGAGTGCCTTTCACAGCAGCAACAGCTACAAACCTCTGACCTAAAGTTTGTCTGGAAGTGCCAGCAATATACAATTCATTAACAAGCACGTACTTTAAAGAGGGCATGGACCCCTTCCACTAGAGCAGCTTGCTCCAGGCCTCTGTGTCCAACCTGGCCTTGAGCACTGCCAGGGATGGGGCAGCCACAGCTTCTCTGGGCAACCTGTACCAGTGCTGCACACAGCATCTCTCAAAAGCAAGAGAGCACTGTACCAGTGCTGCACAGCATCTCTCAGAAAGCTTTTCTATAACTGAGAATCGAGAAGGCATCCGATAGGCATAAGGTATGGAAGGATTTGCCACTAACAAGGTTACACTGAGTACTGCCTGATTAGAAAAGACTGCTGTGTAAAGCAGTGGTCATGAATCTGTCAGTTCTGACAGTCAGTTATGCTCTCTTCATTAAGAGAATACCATCAGCCAGAGAGCAATGGTTTTAATCATTCCATGCCTCCTGCAGTTCTAACAAACCATTGAATGTGTATTTTGTTGAATGTGCAGGATCATGACTTCAAAGGAGAATACAGGATGTTTGTCTGACAAGACAGAAGCTGGGGATAAGCCCCACATGCTATGTGTGTGATGTACAGTCATTCTTACCAACAGATAGCTTCTTGCCCAAGTTATATTTCAAGCATCCTGCCCCTGTTAAGGTGATGTATACCCTAGAGCAGTGCCAAATTTTCAAGGTCATGTCACCCAAATAACTTTAGAAAACTCAGGAGAGCAAGCCCTGCAATTCAGACATTGTCCCATGAAGTTAATGGGAAAAGTCAGACCATCAGTGGAAAAGGACAGTAATGACAGAGTGGGCAGTCAGGGTTTTCTTGATCACACCACTACATCGCTTCCCAATCTATGTAATACTTATGGAGGTTTTGGAAATGCTCAGCTGGAAAGGTAACAGCAATGGTACCGTAATTCTGACTAGGTCCACAGCATTTGCAAGAGTGTAACAATTCAAGGACACTTTTACAGGTGATCTGCTGCAAGGCAAGATCTCTGTCTTGCAGGAGCCAGAGCGCATCTCTGCAAGTTAGTTTTGTAACATCTTACCTCCTGTTGAGATGGCACTGGAACATGTGCGATGAATTTCTGTTGGCCTTCTTCACCTTGCTCCTTGCCACCTTCCTCATCAGACTGACAAAATCCAATGAAAGAAATTAAGCCACATCAAGTTTACTTTCTGAAGGGGTCATCAAAAAAAGCCTTTTTCACTTGCTTTGCCAGAAGGAACCAGACAGAGCACAATCAACACCACAAACACAACAAGCAGGTGAACAGGACTGAACAACAAAGGAACACGATAACCAGCATGGTCAGATCCTGCTCCTTAACATTTTCAGAGGTACTGCTTTCATTCTTCATATATGGATTTTGCTCCGCTGTGGCAAGGCCAGGAATGTACAGCTATATTCCCTTCTCTTCTATCCCTTCCTGGCTGTCATAGCAAAGCTATCAACAAAAGAGCAACCAGCTAACTAAGAAGAAAGCAAATGCTTTAAATAAAGCTATGTACCACTTCCCTGTATAGCTCTGTACTGCTTTGCTCTCACACCCGAGTGCTGGACTTACGAATCACAAGATACTACAAATAAAACTGAAGGATACTGAAGGAACCACCAGTCTCACCTGATGGACTATCTCCTTTTTATTCTTGTGATAAACCCACTTAGGTATGGACTGTAAAATAAGAACTAGTTTCCAGTACCCCTTTTGTGGATCTTGGCGGACAGCATCAACATCCCTTACTTCTCCCTGCTGGTGTTGGGAGCAGGGAAAATAGAGAAACAAGAGCTATGTCACAGCAGTGACTGCAGCACCAGCAAAGCCTTGCTGTATCACGATTCAACTAGAAACAAGACCCTGGCAAGGCCAGGGTGAAATTCTACTGCATACAAAACTAGTCATGCTGTTACTGATGTAGATGGTTGTCCTGCACTCAGCAGCAGCAGTAGCTTAAACCACGACAACAGTACTCGGAAGTAAGACTGATCAGTGTTAACTAAACACTGCCTTGCAAATACCACATTCCTGACAGTGACAGTTAAATCTCACGAGCTCTCAACTCTCAGATGTTTCTCACTCAAGTAAAAAGTCTTCCCTAGCTGCCAGCTCTCTAAACATAGACCAAGTGTGCTCATCTGCTACTGATTTTCACTAAACAGAGACAACCGTAGGGTAATGTAGGCAGAGTGAAGGGCAGAACACAGCAACAGAGGGGTTCTCAGAGAAACAACTCAATGTTCAAGAACGCAGTGTAGAAGAGTTGAAACGTCACACTGCCTTAGCCATCACATACCTCATCGTCATTGACAGCATAGATATCTTCTTCCTCCTCTTCCTCACCTCTTGCAAGTCGTGCTTCTCTCTCCATTTTCCATTTTTCCACTGCTTCTGCTATAACTGGTTAGCAAAGGAAAATAGCAAGTGTATCTGAGAGCAAGTTAAAGCAACATGGTCCTAATGCCAAAGCTTTGACATCAGACTTAACTTCTTGCTCAAGTCCTCTACATTGGCAACGCACACTTACTATAGAACCTCGATGCAGTATCTGATAAAATACATCAACACAGTCTGAGCAAAACCCAATGCTGGCATTGTGGAAGTGTGGTACCTGCTAATGCCTTAATTTGGGTACATTTTAGGCCTCTAAATGTCATGGATAAATATCAACCTACTTTCTGAACTGAGGCTAAGTGGTGCTTCACATGTCAACAGCTATAGGAAAACTGATCACTGCGTAATTAGACATGATTATACTCCTTACAGTGACCACCCACAGAATTCTCTTTCTTTTCATCTCACAGTGTATTTCTTTTATTCTGCAGCACAATCCCACTTCTGTAACTTGCTGCTAGCTCAGAGCTATTAAGCTGCTATATCTCTACTACACAGCAGAGTCCTAGTAGGAGCACTAAAGTTTTAAGCAGCTTAATGAGTGACCACACCAGCGTGTAAATACCCTGGGGAGGTGCAAGATTAATGCAAGTGGGCAGTATGAAATGCCTGCAACAGTTAACACTCAGCGGGCATTCCCCTAGCTCTCAAAGATTAAACACTGAAATGCTCTTCCTGAGAAAGCAAGATTGAACTGACCAGTGGCAAATCCTGTGTTTTGGGCGGGTTTGTAACAGAAAAGGGACCTCAATACCCTGTTTCACAAAAATTTAACTCTTCTGACAACAAGGTATAAAACACAAGAACCAGACAGCAGGTGACCCTAAGAGCATCCCAGCATTACTGTGTGCTGTTGTGTACATTACTAGTACACACTGGCTCTGTAGCACCTCTAGCCTGGTTATTTCAAGTCTCACAATCACCAAGGATGTTCATTTTCTTAAGTGACCACACGAATCCAGAGGAGTCACTTCTCCTGCCTCCAGTCAGCAAGATGTGCAAGAACACTGAGTGAGGGCTGCTCTGGGTGTGCTGCACCACACAACTTCCTTTCTTACCCATCACCTGTCGGCCAGCCAGCTGCCACTCACTTGGTTTAAGGCTCTAGGCTATGCTGCAGGTCACAGATAAGGGTCCTGCAATACTTTCTTTATTACCCCTATTCCTTCCTGTCTTACAGCCTAACTGACAAGGCACGATCTCTAACACACAACACTATGAAGATCTCACACATGGAGAAAGCATAAATGTAAGAAGCGGATGACAGTACTAAGTACTGATAACAGTTACAACCCCAGCAATTTGTAATCATTCAAACAAGGACTTCCTGCAGTGATGTTTCAAGTTTTTCTCTCTACTTCCCACCAGGTAATTGTCTACAAAACGAAGCACCATTTGAACAAAACCTGACTGTTTTATCTGCCACGTTCTGTGAGGAGCCTTCCAGCGGTTCCTACACCAGGACACGTCCAACAGAGCACTGAAGATCTGCTTCAGAGGAAGTGATCATAAAACAAATACACAATGCAAACAGCAACCAATCGCCAGGAACAGGCCATGCCCTTTAAGGTGGTGCACAGCTTCTTGCTTACAGCTACACAAACAGCAGGCAGATGTCACACAGCGCTGAATTTTAAAGAGGGTTTCAGGTATTAGACTCATAATCCTGTTGTCATTACTGGGCAAGTCAGTAGAAACAAAGCCAGAGAACTGAATGAGCAGAGACACGGATAAATACTAACTGTTGAAGTACGGGTTTCAAAGGAAAAAACATCCACAAATGCATTCATGTGGCTAAATTAACATAGGCCACCGGGGCTTCAGGGTTTCCAGAAGGCCCCCTCTAATCTCCAAGAGAGCTAGACAACTGCGCTTATGGATAAATAATGAGGTGAGACAGGAAACAGATGGTATGGCCAGTTTTCACAAAGGAGGGAGGAGATAACCCTTGCGTTCCACAGACCTCCCTGTTGCAACCTACTCTTTTACATTCTTAAGCATGAAAAATGTGGGGAAAAAAGATTTTGCTTCATAGCAAATCACTTGCTGATAGTATTAAATCATTAACAGTAGTAATGATGACTCTGAAGCCAACTATACAGCACACTGCCTCAATCCTGAAACGCCTTACAGAACAATGATGTGGATACCTGTGTGACAGCTAAGAACAGGACAACACCAACATGGAAAGAAAAGGTATCTTAACTTTCGAGCCCACCATGACTCCTTCTTGGGCTGATTTACGCAGGTTTTGTATCTCGCATACCTTTCTTTTCATGTTCTTGTTCCAGCGGCTCCAGAATACCATCCTCTTCATCCCTGTAGCCATAGTATTCTGCATCAATGGATTTCATAAGCTCAGCTCGAGTTTTCCGAGGCGGAGGGACGGCTGGAAGAACAGTTGTCATTTGTGCAGGCCCATCCTGACAGCTTGCTGTACATTCCCCATCAGCCTCACAGCAACTCAAGCTACCTCGCCCAAGTTAATGACCAGTGTGTGACCAAACTGCTGTCAGTGCCAGGGGTACTGGCATTTTTCTGTGCAGTTCCCATCCTGTGGCAGTTCTAAATTGCTGTTTCTCCCTGAACTGGAGTCCCAGCACTGAGCAAGACTATATGAAAGGAAATAAAAACTTATCCCAAGCTCCCCCTGATCATGGAGCACTTCCCACAGTTTTTCTCTGCAGATGGCAAGTAAGGAAGAGCTGATTCAGCAGGCCTGCCTCTCTTCAGGTCCATGGAATTCTCACTCCTTCTATGACAAACCTACATATAAAGTTTTACCCACTTGCGTCTATTTATGGGCCAGAATACACTGCTACTAGCACTCCCCACATAACTACACAGACATCTTACTCAATACACACTACTGTGTAGGCTCACATCTGGGAACAGTCGCTATTTACTTACGTTCCTTTTCAAAAAGTTCTCTAACTCCTGGTAAATCCTTTGCAGCTCCGAAGTATTTGTAACCTCTGTTTCCTGGAACTTCTTTCCCCTCATGATCCAACATTTTCGGCCCAATCCGCTGGGAAATAAAGAAAGTTCATGGTTTAAAGTCTTATTGCTCTTGCATCTTGTATTTCCTGTTTTCCCAGGCATCTCGATAGATAAAAGGATGAGGAAGGAGATCTGTTGTACCAGTTCAAACTACCCCACAAGTAAAACACCCCCATGGCTCGTTTTTATCCACGTTCTCTACTTTTACTACAACTGCCCCATTTAAAACAGAAACCGGTGTACACTTACAGCATAGTCAGGGCCTCCCAGCTCCTTGATTCTGAATTCCCAGTGCCCTTTCTCCCTCAGAAGTTTGTTTATTTCATCATTCAGGTCCCGGATTCTGAATTCCCCCAAGCCAGCTGTTAGAGGGGGAACAGCAACGAATTAGGCAGCTTTCCAGAAGTACCAGAGCCATTCCAGGATTTACACAATGGGAATGGAGTAGTTCACATGAAATGGGATTTTTACTGTAACTGACTAGGATTGAGGATTCAAACAAATGAAATGTAATTAGACAAGCCTTACCATTTTGAATCTGTGCCACCTTCTTGGAAATCTCCCCAATGATCTGGGTAGACAAGAACACAGAAGTGAACTTCCCAGACAAAGAAGCAGAAAAAGCTAAACAAAACCCTAGAAAGATCCAACTTGTACGGTGTCTCTGATCTAGGAAATGGACCCAAGCTTATTGATTTCAAACACCAACACAGATTTCATTCAGACACAAATACAGTATCTCAGAAGCTTTTTACATTTTTACAGCTGTACATGGGAGGGCAGGAGCCTGTGATGTACAGAGAAAGGCTGAGAGGACTGGGTTTGATCTGCCTTAAGAGAAAGCAAAAAGGGAACAACTTGTTGCTGTCTTCAACAACCTAACAGAGGGTATAGAAAGGACTGAATCAGGCTGAGAGATGCACAACACAGGACAAACAGCAACAAACGTAAGTTGAAACCAGAGAAATTGATTAAATTCAAGGGGAAAAAAGATCATTAAGGCGGCAATCAAACACCGGAACAGGGCCCCAGAAAGCTGTGGGATGTAAATCCTGGTGATACTCAAACCTCAGCTGGAGGACAGTGGTACAACCTGCTCTGAACATTGGTGAACTGCCTGATCTTCCAGTCTAAATGACTGCGATTTAAGTGCGAGCACACTGAAGAAGCCTGAACAAATCCAGCAAACTGGGAAGTGCTGAAGTTCTACCTGTTACAGAATTAGAAAAACCCACAGCTTGACGTTACCTGTCGCCTCCACTTCTCGGCTTTAGGCAGTTCATTACACTCTGAAGCAAGGAAAGGTCTTCGCTCCTGTTTGACAGAAATCCACACACCAGGAAGTTTTAACCCAGCATCAACACACTTACAGCTTCTCATGCTAATGTTATTGCTTGTTAATCCCAAAGTGTGCTACCGGTGCTTCTGCTCCCACCCATTCGTACCAAGTGGAAAACAATGGCCATTCGCAGCCCTAGCAAACTGAACGACCACAGAATACACAAATGACTTAAAACCACTTTATCCAAAACAAAATCTGTCACTTGCTTCTCAAACCACCACGTAATCCTTGCCAAGACAAACAACGCTCCATTTAGGACACACAAACTAATACTTCATCCTACCTCTAGGATTCTGTGAGCAGTTCTTTTGACACTTTCCCTACTGTACTTTCACAGCTCTACCCCTTATGTAACAAAAAGCCTTCCCTCACACAATGTACCAGAAACTCTGTTCCATCTTTCTTTAGCTGTTGCTCATGGAGTCTTCTGCACTATAGTTTCCCCAAACTGTTCCTTTCCACTTTCCTGTCTCATCTTGTTCACACTTGTGTGTGAGGACACCTCAGTCAGCTTCCAGAGTTCCACTGGAACTCTGCCCAACTGAGAACACTCTGATCCCTGCAGCAATATTCTTGCATATGACTCAGTGAAAACCACAAACGAATGCCCCAAGATGGTTGAGAATCCACCTCTAAGGGTCTGTGTGGATTTAGGGGCGCTATTTTTTCACTGTATTGGTGGGGGTTTTAAATGACAAAGTTGCTAAGCCCATTTTTTTGGCAGCCTTACACCAACCAAAAAAGCCACATGAACATGGCACAGCGTGTGAGGCCAGCTCCAACACACAGCTATCACATGTTGGGTTAACACACGCCAATGTTATGTCTCATGTACACCCCCGGTTCACAGTGACCCTGAAGGGCCTTTGCTCTGTGGTTCCTGTTGTCAGAATGTTACCAATGAACAACATCCTGAGAGGGATTCCTCTGCCTCTCCTGGAATAAAATCCAAGCAAACCCTGGGATTACTGCTAGTAAAACTAACTGCACACACATCAGTTTGCACAAGGAGTTGTAAAAGGAGGTAACTTGAGTCTCAGACTTCATTTTCACTTTCTGCCCAGCACTCTGCAGATGTTGGAAGCACTACTGCAGTTTGGGGGTTTCTTCAAACCATTGCAGATTCTATCTGTATTTCATGAAGACAACGAAGAGCAAGTGCTGTTCACTTCGCGCTTTCCTTTCACATGCAGAAACTCTTAACCTGGTTACTTAGCTCAGAAAATCCTATTTACCATTTCTGGTTTGTGTCACTGTGAAATACAGTCCCTGCTTTGGGTGCTCCTGTAGGATTCCCCTTCCTGCCTGGGGTCTGACCTGACCGCAGCCGCACAGCTCGGTACATGGCTCACGCTCCCCTCCCCACCAGAACTACCAGAGCTTTACATCATACCTTAACTTTTCCTTCCTCCAGCTGAGCCTGGCGAAACCTTGCCAAGGCAGTCCTAAAGGAAAGAAAGGAAACGGATTTACTTCTACAGATCCACATTCCAACAGGAGCAAGTTTTGCTCTGGATGCTTAGGATGGCCTTAATTACAGTCTGTAGAAAACAAAGGCTTGAACACACTCATTGACTGGCCACACTTCTGGCCAGTGGCCTCTTCTACACTGGAAATCCTCAGTGGTTCATGTCTTAGACAAATATAGATCTTGGTAAGCACCTAAGCATTTTTCCATGGTTAGCATATGCCAGCATGTTAGATTATGAGCAGCAGAAGGGCATCAACAAGTTGCAAGCACGAGCATTAAGTTTACATATTGCAGCAGGGGATACATCAAAAAGCAAACAAAACTTGCAACCCTGACCACTGTGATTCTGTGATTCCGATGTGCCACACAGCTGTGGGAGGACCTCTGCAGCCTCTCCCTGAGTTACAAGCTCAGAAAGTGGTTTAGGTCAAAGAACAAACATGAGACAAATACATTACAGTCTCTAATTCAGCTGTTCTAAACACGTGCCCTGCAAACCTTTTGGAGAAGTACACAACAAAGTCAACAGAAAAATAAATAGGTTAAAACCTGTAAATTTAGCCCCAGCAACTGCCAAGCAAGAAGATTTATATTTAGAATCACAGAGTGCTTTGCGTTAAAGGACACTTAAAGCTCATCCAGCTCCAACCCCTGCCACAGGCCTGGACCCCTTCCACTGGAGCAGCTTGCTCCAAGCCCCTGTGTCCAACCTGGCCTTGAACACTGCCAGGGCCATTGGAGTGTTTCCCCACACCCATCACCCAGCCCCTGCTGCAGCTTCTCTCCAGCACTGGTGAGTGACCCAGCGTTCGGCCCTGCAGCACACAGATGCTTCATAACCCCCAACTCCCACCCCCGTAGATGAGCACAACACAACCAAGTGCCGAAACGCATCGCTAAACTCCCAGTGCTGTAAAACAGCCGGAGAGCGAGCGCGGCCATGAGCCACGGCACAGCGGGCTCAGATCTCTGACACCGGACCCAGCGCGGGGAACACAGGGGAGCACAGGCTGATCTCCAGGCCCCAGGTGCTGTCGATGCTAAGGCCGAGGCGAGCGGGGCCGGCACCGGAGCGCCCGCGCAGAGCTATGGCAAGGGGCAGCGGCGGTCGCACTCACATGGCCTTTTCCGCGTTCCGAGCCTGCAAGAGAGAACAGACGGGCTGTTACTGAGGGCGCCCGCGCCGGCCGCCCCCGCCGCAGCAGCGGCCCTGAGCGCCGGTACCGGACCCATGGCCCCGGCCCTGCACTCACCATGGTGGCAACCGGTCCCCTCAGCACCGCCGGAAACAGACGCGCAGGGACGCCGGAAGTGGCGTACCCGGACCCGCGCATGCGCGGCTCGGCGCTGCGGGTCACCACCCAGCGGACGGGAGGTTCCGGTCCCACTGTGCAGAGCGCGGGAACCGGCACCTGGAGCCCGGCGTCTGTAGGAACCCCGTTTGTAGGAACCCCATTTTAGCAACTCTGTTTGTAGGAACTTGTCTGTAGGAACCCCGTCTGTAGGAACCTTTTTTGTAGGAACCCCATCTGTAGGAACCCTGTTTGTAGGAACCCCGTTTGTAGGGAACCTCATTTGTAGGAACCCCGTCTATAGGAAACCCGTTTGTAGGAGCCCCATTTTAGCAACCCTGTTTGTAGGAACTTGTCTGTAGGAACCCTGTTTGTAGGAACCCCGTCTGTAGGAACCTTTTTTGTAGGAACCCCGTTTGTAGGAACCCTTGTTTGTAGGAACCCTGTCTGTAGCGAACCTTGTTTGTAGGAACCCCATCTGTAGGGAACCTCATTTGTAGGAACTCTGTCTGTAGGGAACCCCGTTTGTAGGAAATAATCAATGACTCATGGCTGTGCCTTCCCGATCCATAGAATCCATCGGATCATGAGGTTCTGCTGCTCCTGGATGACCGCAGCCTCCATGGGCATGAGCGCCCCACGGAACAGCTTGGCCTGCAGGACTGGAAGCACTAACACAGTAACTAGGCTGGTTCCTTCAAACACCCATCTGAAGGTCATGGACTAGCACCAGCTCCACTGTACTCAGGCATGGGGGCACCGCAGCACCCTGGTGCAGCTCATCTGCAAAGGGAGGCCCACAGCCACCCCGCTGCTATCCCAGGCCATTTTCACACGTGGGCCATGAAATTGTAATACTCGGAGCTCTGAAACTACTTGAAGCTGGCTGTGACAGCACAGAAGGGGACCAGAGCACACAGCCTTTATGGTGATGGGACAGAGCCCTCCCTAGAACCTGCTGGAGCTCCAGAGCTCCTGCCCACTGCCTTCAACAGACCCTCTGCCACTACACACATGGCACAACCCTGGTCAGCACAGGACATCTCCCCCTCTTCCTCACCACCCAAGGCTTTACGTGCTCGCAGTGGAGCCTACCTATTGAACATCCCATAGTGAAGCAACACCGTGGGCTGAGGCATGGGAAGGGGCAGTGCCTGGAACACCGGGTGTCTGATGTAATGGGAGCTGCGGAGGCTGCAGCTCTGCTAACAGCCCATTAACCTGCTCCGCACCGGAACTCACACACCCTCTGGCAGCAGGCTGCACACACAACACAGCCACAGTAACCCTACCCCACGGGAACTGAAGACAGCACAAAAGAAAAGTCCAAACTAAGCTTTTTACACCTCCACGTACCCCTTTTTAATGTTATTTTGCACTGTGTACATGAAACCAAAAATAAACAAAAGGAACTTTAGCCAAACTCCCCTTCCTCCTCCAGCTTTATTGATAGTTTAAAATTACATTTTCTATGTTCTAGGACTTCAATTGCTTTTACCATCTTACTTTAAAAACTGATTACAAGCAAATGAAACTCAGTTGTCTAAGTGATATAGTATACAAAAATAACATCTTGATTTCTGTGAAAATGCATTTATTTGCAACTCCTGAATAGCTCCAAATTGTATATGCTATGAGCACTGATGTCTGGGTTCCAGATTGAAGTATTTATTCAAAAGCTCCCTATAACGTTCTGTAACTCCAACAAGAACATTCATTGACTGAATTACTGTTACTTTTAAGTTTATTCCTGATTTCTCTCTCTCTCTCTCATGGCCATTAACAGGCATGTGCATCTTGTTTGTTTACTCCCACTCAGCTATATGCTCTAGGTAGGGCCCGATACAGGTATTACTTGGTGTTAACAGCTACTGAGGTCAGACAATCCAAGGCCATTGTAGTAAAAGTTATGAGGAAGTTTAGACACTTCCAGAATTTTCTTTCCTCCTGCATAGGATCACTTCCATGTAACCCAAAGAGGGTTTTTGCTGGTCTGACTCCACTCTTCCCACTCATCAATCCCTATCACCAGTGGCACGGAAAGGGGGTTCTTTAACAAAGCATTATACATAACACCTCTACCAAACTAAACATAAACATTTTTGTAGTTAAATGCAGAAAGTTGATTTTTTTCCACCCCTTTCCTCCTTTTACACGGCAAGTAAAGCTCACTGGCCTGGGAGTAGCCTCTATCTGCCAACCTTTGGCCAGTGAAGAGGATTCAGAGAAAAATAATACAACCATCAATCAGAAAAAGGAGGGGCGACAAAGGAAAATAGTTAGGCTGTAGCTTCAATTGTGCATTCCCGTGCAAGGTGCCCTGACTCGCCGCAGCGGTAGCAGTTGACTTCGCTGGTCTTGCTGCAGTTGATGGCTACATGGCCAGTTTCACCACACCTGGGAAAGGCAAAGGCTTTTATCAGAACCATCCACAACAGGCACTCGCAAAAGCAATCCTATGCTGGCAAGTGCATTATCTGCTCACGCAATTCTAGCTCCCCATTCAAGACATCGGTTTCAGTGTTCCAGAAGTCTTTGACATGAGGCATGCCTCTGTCTTCACCACAGCCAGGAACCGTTCCCCAACTGTTCAGCTCTCATTCATCACTGTGTATGCCAAAACCACTGTACAATGAATACAGAAGTTTGCAGGTTTGGGGGGGAGGGGGTGTGTGCTGGGGTTTGCTTGCTCCAATGCTTCTGCCTGCAATTTAGCCTTGTTTTGAGAGCAGTCAGTTTTAACTCAAAGGCACCATGTTCTCATTCCTTCCTCCACAGGAGGGAACCTCGGTGGCGGTAAGAACAGTGCACTCAGGAACGTGCTGCTTCTGGCCCAAGCCTGCATGGTTCTGGCCATCCAGAAACGTGCATCAAGTCCACCATTTGACTTTGCTAACAGGCATTTAAGTCTTAAACAACTGTTTCAAGAAACAAGCTATCTGGTCCAAGTTTAAGCTTCACTCCTTAATCAAAACTGGATAAAGAGCACAGCTGTCCTGGGTTCAGCAGTAGCAGCCACTTTTTCTCCTTAGTAACTTGTGCAGTGCTGTGGTTTTGACTTTCGGCCTGGGAACAGTGCTGATAACACAGACGTTCTTAGTCACTGCTCAAATGTTTGGTCTGGCCAAGGACTCTGCAAGCCTCATGCTCTGCCAGGGAGGAGGGGAAGCCAGGAGGAAGCAGAGACAGGACACCTGACCCAAACTGACCAAAGAGGTATTCCATACCACAGCACATCACGCCCAGGATGTAACTGGGAGTTACCCAGAAGGGCTGGCTCACTGCTCGATCAGGCTGCGTATCCACAGGTGGTATTGTATTCTCTCACCTTGTTATTTCCCTTATCATTATTATTATCGGTGGTAGCAGCAGCGGTCTTGTGTTACACCTTAGTTAGTGGGCTGTTCTTATCTCAACCCGTGGGAGTTACATTCTTTTGATTCTCCTTCCCATCCCACTAGGAGGGGGAAGAAAGGGGAGGAGTGAGTGAGAGGGCTGCATGGCTCTGATTTACAGCCTGGGCTTAAACCACGACAACACCCATCCCTTAAGGTGGCTTTTGCAGTTGCCCCTTCCCAGTCCTTACCGATAGCATTTCACTTTGGTGCAGTCTTTCTGAATGTGTCCAAACTCTCCACAGGAATAGCACTTCTGCTCATCTGCGTGGTCACAGTCACGAGCCAGGTGGCCAGGTTTGCCACAGTTGTAGCAGCACTGCTCTCTCTCCCTCTTGGGCTCCTTGCAGTCCTTCGCAATGTGGCCACCTCTACCGCAGTTATAGCAGGCTTCCACAATAAGAAAAACACACCAAACAAGACTATAAAACCTTGGTAGAGTGAGCTGTAGCATGCTTCCAAGGAAGGACACATACAGCTTGTTCCCAGTAAATCACCGTCAGTGTACTGAACCCTCCTCTTCAACCACAGGTCTCTGTCCGTGTGATTGAGGAGATAGAATATTTAGTGATACTTACCATCCTCCTGAAGATCACAGTCCTTGGCAAGGTGGCCAGACTCACCACAGCGGTAGCAGATGTCCGGCAGAGATGAGGACATGAACTGGAAGCCTGCTTGAAAAGGGCAACAGGAGAAAAAAAAAGGCTTAATCCGTAAGTTCAGAATGTTCCTCAGAGTTAATGAAGGACACTGCCCCCTGAACTGACAAGTCAGCTCCACTCTCTGATGCCCCTGACAAAATTCTTATGCAGAAGTAAGAACCAGCAAAATTTATTACCCATTTGTGTCCTGACTGCTTCACTGCAGACTAAGAGAGCTGAATTTACACACTACACACAACAGTCAGCTACAGACCTTACTACACACACAATGAAAACCACAGCAATCAATCACCTCTGCCACGGCTTCTCATCCCACGACCACGGCCAATTCCAGTGGGGCACTCCCGAGCCCAGTGGCCGGTACGTCCACACTTGAAGCACTCATTGCTGCTCATGGCTGCAGGTCACCTGTGGAGGAAGACATACATTGTTGGAAAAAGTTCTCACCCACACCAGGGCTACATTACAGTAAGATACATAGAGGTATCCCACCATACTGCCAAAGGGCAGTAAAACCACTGCAGAGGATGAAAGTTTGTCTCTGCTTTGCTTGGAGAAAGGCAGCTTTGAACAGTCAGACAGGACACTAGAGAATTTTTCCTCTAGTTTTTTGTAGCCAGATTTTGTTTTCAAAGCTTACAAAATGCTTAAGGGTGGGGGAATAAAGGGGACCCCTTCAGCTCTTGCCTTACCAGCCTCCTGTTGCTCTCTTTCAGTAACGCAACTTCTGTCTTACTCCTCAGAGTTAAACTCAAAACCCAGTTTCTCAAATGATTATTTTCCTGGCAGTTGTTAAGCTACAACATTTACTGACTAATCAAGTTTCGCTCTAGAATAGGCAGTATTAAGCCTAAAGCCTCAAAGAGCACATTAGATTAGTACAAATATGGAGACTAAAGTTCATTTACAGCCTAAACAGCAGTTAAACTCTGACAAACACGAATCGCAACTTCAATATATCAGCCTATAGCTCAGGATGTACAATTTACTCCCAGGTTTACATGCAAGAAAATGTCTTAAAGAGGTTTGACTTCCCTAAAGGAAACCAGACATTTGCCAGATATCTAGAAGGCTAACTTGGAAAACATTCTTAGAATGCTAGGGCAGTATCAGAGGCGTGCCTGCCCCAGGCAGCATAAAGCACCACTTCTGCCCTTATTGGGGAATGGAGGTAAGCACTGCGGTGAGCAGGAACCCCATGTGCCACACTCACAGATGTGGTGGTCAGGATGGGGCAGGTTGCAGAGACTGCAGTCATAGCACTGTAACTGCCTAAGCTGTAAAGCAGTTACACAAGACTTCTAGGATTAGAAAGCAAAGAACAAGGAAGTTAAACATTCAAATTGGAGGCTTTTTTTAAAGCGTTCTTGAAGACAAGTTTAAAGTACACTGGTCTAAAAATATGCACGTCAAGCTTTGTTTTGAACAAGTCTCCTTAAGTTTAAATACTTCAGATGCTCTCTCCTACTTCATTATGCTTAACCCAAGAGAAGTAGAATCATTATCTGGTATGTTTGGTGGTTTACCTGATCCCCATCAAGATAATCCTCCTGTAGCCCTACAACTTACATCACGTTACAGAATGCTTCCCTCCCCCCAAGCCAGCCAGCATGCCAGATTACCAGGAACATTCATGAATGCATCTTAAAGAAAGCCACTACAGAAGCAGTAAGAACAGCACATGACCTCAAGAAGGAACCAGAATTAGTACCCTAACATTCAGCTCTTAAATGGAGAGTGTGTATCTGAACAGGAATTTTTATTTAGTTATTTTTAAAGCACTCCGATGTTGAACAAATTTAGTGTGGCTTTTCCAGCCACTCCTCCCTCAAAACAGTTCCTCTCTCTCTGATCGCAAGCCACCATCCGTCCCCCCAACCTGAGCAGAAGCCTGAGAATTTAAAGTACAAGAGATACAAACTTTAGTATGCAACCTCCACAATCCACATCTACCTCCCAGCTGGACCAGATTTTTTTGCTCTTAAGAGTTCTGCAATGAAAGGAGGAAAGGAGATCTTAAACAGATCTCAGCAAGAATAAAAACACCCAAGCAACTGACTATCTGAGCACTGAAAGCACTATAACTTGGATTTTACACAGCCCAGTCTTCTCTGCTTCATCTTGGTGTTCAGGATTTCCGAGCACCTCATCAGACACCCAAGGGTGAAGAGCTGTGACTGTGGTGGCAGCAGCTGGCACTCAGTGTGCTATTGTTTATGCCTGTTTTCGTAGCAACCCTGTTGACACTGCAGAACAGGAAAAACACAGGCAAAGCCAACTGCAGGAGCTGGCCTCAGTCACAAGAGCTGATGCTGCTTTTCATTTCAAGAGGGACCAGATGGGGGTCTCTGAATTTATACACCAAGAAATACTCTTCACTCATCTTGCAACTCTTCTCTAGAGTGTTCACACATGAAAACATTACAGAACAGCAACATAAAACCTGTTAAAAAGAACAAAATAGTATGTGAACAGCTGTAACAGAATAGCAGTTTATCACTGCCATTATAGTAACAGATAGCAACAACTACCAGACTCTCATTCCTAATGACCAACTTTGGACTACAGCATGTCACGACAGGATCGAATACTGCCAGCAGTTACCCCACAAAGAACCCAACAAAACCAGTTATGTTAACGTACGGTAGAAGACAAAGGTTTAAGAGGTGAGTTAGACCTTCTGCAGATACACAGTGCAAAGTTTTTATGCTAAGATTAATTCGTCAGCCTGTACCTAGCCTGTCAGTGTGTCAGTCAGGACCTGCATGATGGATGAAAGCTTACTACTCACTGCCTCTAAGGAATGTGGAAAAGAGAAGTTTTACATCTGATTCAAAGTTCCTTCCTTTTTAACTGCTCTTCAAGAGGAAAACATGAAGATCCTTTTCCTTGGTACATAGCAAGTTGGCAAAGTAAGATTAAACTGAGTAACAAATCTGAAGTCAAGCATCAGTCTCTGCACAGTCAAGACTATTAATGTAAACCCCCTTATCTTCAGAGGCCCCTTTTTCCCTTGAATTCAGAGATATTTGAACATCACAGTTGCAACAGCAGCTTCAACAAAGCATGATTACAAATCGTGCTGCTCTACCTTCTAAGACCTTAAGTATATGAAAGTACTAAACAGTTTGCCTGGCATTTCTTTGTCACCAGTGTTTCAGTGTTCAACTTCTCCATTCTTCCTGTGAAACATCTGAAACTGAACACCAGTTCAGCAGCTAGGAGTATGCAGCTGACACCAGTTTTACTTTAAGCAGCCTTAAACAGAACAAGATTCCCCACTGGCATAAACTGTTTTAAAAACCAATGTCAAGATTTAGCTTTCAGATAAAACCAACAGCCACCTTTAAAGAGCAAAATCCAGCCCTGGCTGGTTCAGAAGGCAAGTCCTTAAATGGACAGCCTTTAAGCAGTTTGAACACCACTGCATTTCTTAGTTACTTGCAGGAAAAACACAATTAGGACAGTAAAACCCACCCAAGTTCACGTTCTTCTCTATTAGTCAATACTCCTCCATTCTGCCATCACAGGCAAGCTTCCAGCAGTTCCTTTCATCATCAAGGACACCTGAAGTATTTGTTTAAGTCTTCTTGGAAAGTTCTCACTCGATTACATCTATCAGTGTTTTCTGCAGCTCAAATGTGTTATTCAAAGCAGCTCCCTCTCCCTCCTTACGTCCCAGAACTGGAATTCTACCTCTCCAGAACAGCAAAAATAATAATGGAAAACAAATTCCAACTACAGCCCCATCTGGCATTTCTGAGCCAGGTAAAATCCTGCAATATACACCTAGCCACTGTCCTGCAGAATAGGTTCTAAAACCTGTGAAGTAACACGAGTTGCCTCTAGTTACCTTTCCACTATAGAAAGCAGTAATTTACCTGAACTCCTTCTACAGAGCTCCCCAGCTGTAATGTGAAGCTGAAATAAATAACCTTGCAGCCATTCAGCAAATACTAAGATTGAATTTTAGACTTTGTTCTGTACAATTCCTACTGCTAAAGATCAGGGGCTGAGAGCAGCTCAAAGATCCATGCAAGAGGTACCACCACAGTTGTTCCTAGGTCCGATCTGAAGCTTTGGAGTGCAACTTTAGCATCAAACTTTTAAGTGACAAAGTTTCTTTGTGATTCTTACAGTGATAACAGAAATGTCAAGTTTCTTGTATCAAACTTGAAGTGGAAGATTACGCTTTTCTGTGGCTTTATAATTTATACATATTCAACACTTTTAAAATAGGAGGAGTGCTGTTAATCTCCAGTCTTCACACACAAAATTGAATATCCATACACCTTAGTAGCCCCTCCATGGGCTGTCACTTGAGCTCCATTGAAATACTTATTTTATGTCTTTTAGCCTAGATATCCCCTGAGAAAGGTTGTTTCAACAAACAAGAGTAAAACTAACTTGAAGCTGAACTTTGCCTCCAAGATTACTCAATTCTTCTGGATACTAGCAATTCTTTAGAATTCAACAGCCTGCTGTAGTAGAAGCAGTTTTCTTCACTGTACTCACCACCTGCTTCTTTTGATCTACAAGTATTGCTTCCATTCAACATCAGTATGACTTCACACTTTCAGTCAAAGGACAGACTAGATAAAAACCCACTGCTACAGCCAGTGTACTTAAGAGCTCTTTAGCAAGTCAGCTGACTCAAAGAGGCAAATGTTGAGAAATCAGCAGTTTCTTTCCAGGCTGTTGGTGGCCAACTTACACCACACCTTAAAATGAGAATCCAGCCTGAACATGGCAAAACCCCTCAGGAACAGGAAATACAGCTTTGCTTTCCTACGAGATAAAGAAATGGAAAGGCAGAAAGCACTTGCAGCATTTCAAAAGAGAAGTCAAAGTATTCATTTAAAGAGAAATGCTACTCCTGTGTTCATATTTCCCCAAGAAGCATGTTTTGAGGATTCTTCAGTACAGGACACACAACCATCACCAAAGCGACTCAGCATTCAGCTGGTTGAACTGCCTCATCTGTAACCCGAAAATATGCTACAGCAAGTTAGTGATGCTCCTGTCTCTGGCTTTTGTCCTTACTGGAAAAGATAGAAGATTAGGTATTCTGACCACCAGGTAACAACACCCCGATTCTGAGGGGAAGTAGTTTGAAACATCAAGGAAAGCCTGCAGAAGTGGAAAGCCAAGCATCTACACTCCATTTGGGTCCCCTTGATATGTTCCACAGCCAAGCTCTGAGTATCATCATGCGAATGTTAACTGTAACTTCAAGAACTTGTACCCCTGTTTAGGTGCCAGAAACCATGTCAAAAAGACATAATGACTTTGATTAGCCTAGTAAAGCTTGCACAGCTTTGCAGACATAAACCAGGACAGTAAAAGTTCAAAGTGACTCTGTAGCACCTTCTGTCTATCGATACCAGTTAATATAGAGTGAGACTTACAGATTATCTACCAAATACCTACATTCTGTCACTTTACCGTTTTATTTTTGTTGCTATCTGTATATAGAGCTTTAAACTTTTAAAGACAAGTAAGCATCAGCAACGTGTGAACTTCCTAACACAAAATTCAGTCTGGACAGTAACAAAGCGAGTTTTAAAGCATGGCAGGTTAAGCCTGTAACTCACAAGGTTGTTCTGCAGCCCCAGTGAACTTACTCAACCTCTTCCCTCTGAAGACACACACAGGACTGTCTAGGCAACTCTGTGGAAAAAAAACCTAGGGACTAGGCAACCCTACCTGTGCCTGGCAAGGGGGCCTTATTAAGTGCTGAAATGAAAACTAAACCCTACTAGTAAGTTTAATAATTCCTTTCTGACAATTCTGGATACTAAATGAGTAACAGCAGTTACTTGAGAACTATGCCTGACAGGAACTTAAATAAAAGGCTGCTGCACTAGCCCGCACTCTGTAGATGTCACAGGCTATTTTTCCTATCCATTTATAGGTCACACTTGGATTTGGAGCAGGCCACCGTCCGCGCCTGTGGTCGGAGACAAACACTTGAAACACCTCGACCCCCTTGTCTCCGGCGGAACCTCACACGTGGGGAGCGAGCCACGTGGTGCAGCGCCGCCGGCCCCGCGGAGCCGAGTCCAGCGGCGGGCCAAAAGTAACAGAAACCATCACAAAACACAGAAAAAAGGAGAGAGAAGAACAAACAATTTAATTCCAGGCCCCTGCCCCACACCGCCGCCTCCTCCCGGGGTCGCTGCAGCGCTCACCCACACCGAAGTTGCTCACACGCCCCAGGCCGCGGCCGAGCCGGGCGGTTTCCCCTTCCCACGCCGCCGGCCCGGCCCGGCTCGGCCGCAGTGCGCTACCCCCGCCCGCCACCGGCCTACCCAGCGCCTCCACCGGACCCCAGCCAGCGGCCGAGCGCAGCCACAGGCCCGCAGGAGGCTGCTCCTGGGGAGCGTCCGGCCTGGCCGAGAGGTCCAGGGGCGCCCAACCCCGCCTCGGCCTCCCCTCTCTGTGCAGCGCAGGCTCCTCACCACCGTCTCCCAGAACGCTCCGGAGCCTGACTCACCCGCCCCGCTCCCTCTCCAGTGCTCCCCGTCCAACGCCGCCGCCTCCCCACACGCTCCGGACCAGGGAATCGCGCCCGGGCCCAGTCGGCGCCACTTTCCCGCGCACTAGGCCGGAGTGCGCCAGCGCCATCATCCCTCCGCGTTAGCGCCCTCGCTGCCCGCCCGCGGCCCCAGCAGCCCCCGGGCAGTTACCTGCGGCCCCTCGCCCCGCTGCGGCAGTCGCCCCCCCCCGGACGACAGTCGGCTCCGCTCACCCGGCGCTGCCCGCCCGCTCCGCGTCCCTTCTGGCTGCGCCACACGCGGTTTGCACACGGCCCCAAGCACTCTCCCTCCAGGATCACCCCGCCCCTCCCTACTACTCTGCGCACGGCTCACTGAGCCCACCTCTCAGCCAATGGGAGCAAGCCGCTTTTCCGGGTGGCCAATCGCAGCTAGGGACGGGGGAGCCCAACCATCGCAGTCCAAAGGTGGGAGGGGCCCGCCTACCGGCGGCCTCTGCGTGCCCATCCGCGCTCGTTGCGGCGGGCTGGGCCGGTGTCTGTGCAGGGACCTGCGTGTGCTCCGCACCGTGACTCACTGCGCAGGCAGCTCCGGCTTCCTCCCCGCGCCAGCCCGCCCGCTGTCTCACGCGGGAGGGGAACTCAGGCTGCCCCGCGGAGCCGCGCTCTTCCTGGCTGGGCCCCCACTCCGCAGCCCGGGCCGGAGTCCCTCGGGGGCCCACACTGAACAGAGGCTGCCCGGCGTCCCGGCCTGCGCTGCACCGCCCGCTCCCGCCAGCGCGGGCTCCCGCTTTGCCTGTCGGTAACCCGCTCGTCTCTGCACGCCCCGGCGGTAGTGGCGAGCCCCCGAGCAGCCGCTGGCCCGCACCCGCCGCGGACACGGCGTGAGGTTCCTCTGCCGCCGGCATGGCCCGGGCCCTGGGGCCGCCGGCTGCGCCCCGCCCGCGGCGGCCATCTTGACAGACGGGCCGGGCTCCCGCGGCCGCATCGCAGGAAATGGTGGACAGCGGGGGCTGTCGCGACACAGCGACCGGTTGTGACCGGAGCGCTGTGAGTGCGGGCGCCTCTGAACAGGGCTCCTGGCACGTCACGTGCTGCAGCCAAAAGACACCAGGAAGTAAACGTTTTTCGTGGTGTTTTGAGTTTTACTCAGTCGAGTTTCTGCACAAACTTTACTCTTCGAATGTCTTACATAAAAGTTATAAACAATGCTGCCGCTTTGTGGAGTGAGGTAAATGGCTCACGCAGCCATGAGGATTCCTACATAAGCCCTGTCCCTTTTGCCTAGGAACTCAGTAAATGAATGAGGGACCAAGTGTTGCACAAGCCCTCTCCTGTGCGACAAGGCCTGGGCAGTGCAATGCATGGGCAATCCTTGCGGTCACTGTTCATTTGGTCCCTACGGATTGGCTTAAACCTCCCCCCCCTCCCCGTTTAAACACTGTTGGAATGTCCCTCCCGAGAGAAAAAGAGCCCCTACCAGGCGCTGGGACTGGGAGGAACGTCAGCGTGGAGACGCTGGGTTGACCTTTCCTCAAGCTGTAAACCTAACGTTATAGCGCTGTCATTAGCTTTCTTTTATTAGCATATGAGTAACAACGGATGTCTTTTCCTGCGTGCTCAGTGCAGTTTGTTTAAGCTGGACTGGAGTCGGTTGTATTCGGGTGCTGTTGCGTTTCACAACACGCTCTGTTTCCTACACAACTCAACCAGCTGTGTTGTATCAGCACCAGGGTCTGGAACAGGGACGAGCCTGAAGGGCCTGAGGGTCAGACTACAGCCTCCCGTGACATCTCTTGCCAGCTCTCATTCTGCTCTTTGTTTAACAGTGGTGTGAAAACATCAACATTGCCAACAAGCTTTGAACTCATCATAACATTTCTTTGCCTTAATTACTCATCTCTGCTGTCATAGTTCAGCACAGTTTTCATGGCTTTTGGTTGCCTTGGATACGTTAACAATCCTGTTCACAAGTAGTCATGGTTTTAGTTTTAATTACTGCTCTCTTATTCAGGTGATAAAGGAAGAGAAATAATGTGTGTGGCTAGCTTCTAAATCACGAGTGTGCCTACCCTGCATTAAAAAACCCCAGCCAAACAACAGATCCATGTCAGTAAGGCAGACTGCAGAGAGAAAATCATCTCAATTTTTTCATCATATCTTTCGAACCTGCTTCTGCATGAGTCCTTGTAACAGGACTTGGGGATTTCAGACTGACAGAACAACTGCAATACAGCTTTTCTGACCCCTCCTCGTGTTCTGCTGATTGTACTGGCCTTGTGGCTAGGAAACTGCAGGCCTAATCTTGGTGGCAATCTGTAGACTTACGGAGCTTTGTGACTGATACAGCCAATAAATCACCCTGAGCAAATCACACCTGTTGAATCTGTTTGCAGGAATCCGTTCAGTTCTCCTCCCTGTCCCTCTGGGAGAAGGGGGGAGCGAGGAGCGGCTGTGTGATGCTGAGTTGAGGTGGGTTTAAACCACGGCAGTCAGAACTTCAAACCTTATCCTGGGCTCTGCCTTGGTTGCAATGGAAGCGGAGTGCAACCGTGAGTGAAAATGCATTGCTCAAGGAGGGTTACTGCTGGTGACAAATCAATTCCTCATCCTGAGTGTGCCGCCTCAAATGCAGTCCCACTGTTCTTACAGGATATTTTTAGCCTGTTTTCATTACAATGGATGATTTTTCCCCCACCAGCAGATAATAACATCATCTTATAACAGCAGTTCGTTTGTGTACTTACCTCAAGAACTATTTTGGCTCGTTGTGTCTTAATGAAGCTTGCAATTCTTGTTTTGCAGGTTTCTCTTTAATATTTAGGCAGAGGATAGTCTTGCCCTTAAAGAACAAAAGCAAGAGGCATGACATCTTCCTGGCTCAGTCAGTATTTCCTATAGAAAACAAAGAAGAGAACAAGGTAGAAGTTCAAAGTCTTTACATTCCTTATGTGCAAGTAAAAGACAAATTTATGTCAGCCCCAGACTACTCTGTTGTGTTAGCTCTGCCCCCAAAATCCCAAGCCTCAACTGCTCATAGGAGCTTATAGGTCTAAAGGAGCTCAAGTACAGCACTAGTTGAAGGTAATCCATCTCAGCAATTTATCTTTCCTAATGCGGGCAGTTCATAGAAATGCTGGATGAAGAGCCAAACCATTTTAAGACCAAATAAAACTACAAATCACATTTTGCAACCAGTGTTCTTGCCTTGTTTTCCTCTGAGTGGTTGGACACGTGGGTAGAGAACTGTTTCAGTTGCTGGGCAATTGTCGTTGCTTCTCAGCCACATGCATGTATTGCTAAAGTAACTCTTACTTCATTTTGCATGTAGGGTTTTTCTAACCAAGGAGACCTACGGTAGTCACTGTGGGGGTTAAGTAGTCAAAAGAGAATCTGCTTTTGGAGTATGGGTTAGCTGGTAACAGCTTGCCAGTAGCAGTTTCAGAACCAGTGCCCATTCCTTCCTCCAGCCCCACCATTCGACAGGAAGCTGGGGCAAAGCAGGAACACACAACCAGCTTTGCACTGTTCTGCCCCTGCATGCTTTGCATCAGCCTCTGCAGTAAGTTTAATTCCAGTGGTAGAACAAAGGAGGAAAGTATTTGTTGGTAAAGATTGGCAAGTGACTTTATGCATCTAAGGTCAATGGATTGCTTAGAATCACAGAATAATTAGGGCTGGAAAGGTCCTTAAGATCATCCAGTTCCAGTCCCCCTGCCATGGGCAGGGACACCTCACACTAAACCATGGCACCCAAGGCTCTGTCCAACCTGGCCTTGAACACTGCCAGGGATGGAGCATTCACAACCTCCCTGGGCAACCCATTCCTGTGCCTCACCACCCTCACAGGGAAGAATTTCCTCCTTATATCCAATCTAAACTTCCCCTGTTTAAGTTTTAACCCATCACCCCTTGTCCTGTCACTACAGCCCCTAATGAGGAGTCCCTCCCCAGCATCCCTATGGGATGGAAGGCTGCTATGAGGTCTCCACGCAGCCTTCTCTTTTCCAGGCTGAACAGCCCCAACTTTCTCAGCGTGTGACATTCTGTATTACAGTGTCACCCAAGAGACTATTTCACCTGGTGTAAGCCCAGTGGGTCACCAGTGTCCAGCAAGATCACTTCTGCAGAAAGGTAATCATCTGTTGCTGAAAGAAACGGAGTGAGTCTCTAGTCAGCTCTGTATATTTATCCCTAAGATAAAGTCCTAGTCAGCTAGCTGTGGAAGAGGCTTGATAGAACACTCAGTGAATCAGTTGGTGTATTGCGGAAGGGAAGACTGCCTGCTGGTTACTACTTGTCCATAGACATGACGAGTTCAGGAAGCTTCAGTGGTGATCTGAAGAGACTTCTGAAATGTAGAAGGCATAATCCCCTGGATGATGCAACAGGTAACAGGAAAGATCTGCCTCTTCTTTGTTGAAGTATTCCTATTTATAATCAAGCTTATGGCTGAATTATTTCATAGGCTTATATAGCCATTGTATTTGAAAGGATGTCTGTGCTAAGTTAGCTACATAGTCTTACAGAGTTCTGGCTGAAGAGAAGTAAAAGTACTCACTGATTCCAGGTGCTTAGTTCATTTTGATTTAGTATAATTAGCTGATTAGATTGGAAATAATTACTTATTTAATGTATATAACAAGAACGATTAGTTTGCTTGTGGCTGTTGCACAGATAGCCACATTTAGGGTCTGGCAAAAACCACTTCCTGCGTGCTGTGGAGCTGGGCCCTGCCTCCTTGGTGTCTTTGCTGGTCCCTGCCATGCTGTACAGCGCGCAGGCAGGGCAAGCCCAGGGTGGCAGCTGGGGTCAGCCTGGAGCCTGGGTCATCAGGCAGGCCAAGCTCCTGGTGTGCAGGCAGGTCTGAGGTGAGGCCAGGCAGCCAACCTGCAGGTCAGGGTGAAGCCAACCTGCGCCAGGGTTCACCTGCATCAGGTCCAGATGCAGTCTGGTGATTGCCAGGCAAGGCGATGGTGGCAGGGCTGGGCTCAGATCGAAGAGCATAGCCAGGCAGGCAACCATGGCCATGCACAGACACAGCTGTAACACAGCTGGAGACCAGCACCCCCATGGCATAGCTGAGGCAGGGGCTGGGGTTCTAGCGCTGCAATGGGCACATGGGCAGGTGTGTGCATGGAAAAGCTGGTCAAAGTAATTAAAAGTCTATTAGTGCTCATAGAGCTGACAGCATTAAATGTGCTCAGAGACTGCTGTCTTTAAGATCTAATGTGTTTTTAAGCAAGTTACTCCTTGATTGCCAGTGATCAGACAGGTGGCTTCATTAGCCAGACAGGTTTTTTAAGTGTGCAATGAAGGTTCTGCATTAC